TCTGCAGTATCTTCATTACTAATATTGTCTCATTATTTTTCAGGACCCCTTACCTCTTTTTCGTATGATCCCACTCTGTAGCGAGTGTTGTTCAGGCAGGTGTGCTTTTATCAAACCAATTCCACACTAGCAACAACTAACACAATATACTTTATCTAGGTTGCAACAGGCTCCGTAGAAATGGGGTGTTCCATAAGACCAGCTAGAGGTGGTATTATTGTACTAAGCAGGACCACCACTCATGGACAATCATGAGCAAAACATAAGGGAATCCTGCCCATCCCTGCTGATCATTGGCTTGAATAAATCAGGGTCAGTTTACTTTTAAAAATTTAGGGAACTTGGTTCACCTATTGCAGTTTCCAGAGCATTGTTCCTCAGGGCTCATTTCCCAATAGTGGAGCTAGGAAGTCATTACCATGCTTAGTTCCAGTCACAAGGGAGGTAGTCAGAGGCTATTCCTCCAGAGTGTCAAGTGACTTTCCTCTCCTCTTCAAGAAGAGGGTGAAGTTGGGGACCCTCCTACCCAGCTCTCTGGATGTTTTTTCCCAGATGTTGGTAGGAGAGGCACCAGCCTACATGGGAGTCTGCTCGTAATACTGGTTCAGATTTGAAATTCAGCTATCCAGTTGGGTTGAGCATGGTCCTTGTTTTTGATCAATATTGGTTTAGTACATTGTTCATGGAAGAGGGTACATTGTCTCCTCATAATTCCAAATGCAGAGTCCATGGTTGAGCACAGTTTGTTTTATGTCCTCCCCATAATTCCAGGGGCAAGTGGAATTTACCTTGCCCACACAGTTGGGGAGAGAGTATGAGTGTTCATAATTACAGACCAGATGAATTCTGTTTCCTCAGATTGAGTATGGCATACAGGATCCTGTCATTCTGAGTTTGGAGTGTTGCCTTTTGGACTTCTTCAGTTTGAGAAGAGGTTTTGTCCACTTCGGTGTTGCTTATCTTATCATGATTCCAGTGACTTGGAATACATCATGCTATAGCTACAGGTTGGGATCCACTCACAAATATATATATATTGTGGCCAAAATCCCTAGGCATCAACATGGGATTTAGGAACCATGGCCCTATAATTCCAATTCTGAGCTGTGGGACTTTAGCTATCTGGTTGGGGCCTGGCCCCTCCACCTTCTCAATGTGGGGCTCTAGCTGTAGTGTGAATAAAAGTAAGTATTTTTGGAAGTTAAAATTTTTTTAAATCGTAAATCTCCAATAATGCTTACCTCAGAGCTGATGTTAGAGACTGTGGATTGGGTTAGTTTCGAAAAAGTGATAATATTATCTGAATGAGATGCTTATATTCAATATCAGGATAGAGGGTGCATTGACATTGGTGGAGAATGTCACATGACAGATATCACCAAGGGTAATTAAGTGGAGAATAAAAGACTAGAGCAAGTGAGAAAATTTCAGACTAATACTCAGATGAACAAAGGAAGGAAACCCTAGAAGTCAAGTAATAGCTGTAGTGTGAGAAGAGGTAATTATTATTGAAAATACATTTTCAAGTTAAGAAAATGTTAACCTCCTGAAATTTGCATCAAGTAGGGAATAACAGAAAGTGTTAAGCTCATTCGTTCTTGCTCACTGCCCACTGTTGAGATGGAGTTCTTTGCAGGATTGCTTAGATATTATCAATATATTTCTAGGCTTTTCTAACCTTGGGAAAAAAGCAAAACAATTCGAAAACACCAGGTTTGTGAGTGCCTGCACATCTGGCTAGCCCCTGCTGCCTTTAATCGTTGGAACCCATTGCACTGTCTATCAATGTGGGACTTAGGTAAATGTGAGAATTCCGGTATCATTGCCAACAGCTCTCCAGTATTCTCATCAATGTGAATTCCTCCCATTATCATCAGGAAGAACAAAGGGAGAACCCATTTTTTCCAATCCCAAGTTGCTGGGGAAGTCAGTATGAAGAGTTCCCCATCTTTAAAGTGCAACTGGTATGAGACAGATTATATCCATCCCTCGATTGGAAGGAGGGCTGGGATGTTCCTGCCAGTTTAGTATGGGCTATCCAACTATGTTATGAACTAAGTCAATCATAATGGTTAGTTCAGGTGGATGGGTTTTGTATTCTTTTGGGAAACAGGTCTTGAATATATCTCTCTCACTTGCTTTTGGTGGTAAGTATATCAAGTATTTCTCCAATATTGAATGCTCTGACTTATAGCCCTAGCCACACTACACACTCATGCTTAGCTGACTGCCTGTTATATAATGGATAATTGAGCGACTTTACATTCTTTTCATACCTTGGCAACACTTTTAGCATCAACCAAAGATTCCCCTAACAATATCTTTTGCTTTACACTTCTTTTGGGCAAAGAGTATTTCCCTGCTTTAAGTAGATGTGGTATCCCACCAAGTGAAGCCCCACTAGGCTAACCCCCATAGTGAGCGACACACTTCATTGGCTTTCCCTTTCTGAAGCTTTGTTTTCAGAAAATAGGTTATCTTTGTAATTTCTTTATCTGCGCCAGTATCTCCACCATATTCAGTGTGGGATTCTAGCTGTTTGCTGTGTAGAGAAGTGAGGAGCATTTTTTAAGCTAACATTTTTCCTTACATAAAATCTATTTCAAATAGATACTCACTTCTTTACACAACCTCCCACTCTTCTTCATCATTTCTTGTGCATTTAGTTTAGCTCATCAAGAATGAGCCTTTGTTCAAATGCTAGTGCTTATGGGGATTACTGCACATGGATGATGTATTAACCTTCCATTGATAAAGGGTTATACTCCAATAATAATTACATGCTGGTGCAATACACATTAACATGAGTACAGATGGGAGCATCTTTCAAGGCTTTTTGCACGAATAGAAAATATTTATGGCAGAGCACAAGGTAATAGCTGTTTGTTGTGCATGAAAGTATCTATCTAAAATACATTTTCTGGTAAGGAAAATTTTAATATTATTCATTTCTCTTTATTTACCACCAAATTATTAACTTATTATATATGCATGTACATTAACTCATATTATATTTTTTAATTTTAATATGTTACATTAAACTTGCATCTTAATTATTTTCAAAGAAAACTGCTGAAGATGGCTTATATAGAATAAGCGGAGGTACCCATCCATTGTCCATGTTATGAACTTTAAAACATGTGGAGGTGTATGCTATGATAGATAACACAAAAATCCTAACTTTCACACAATTTATTTATAATGTAACATATCATTACAGTATTCATTATTACATCACCAAAAGTTTGGTATAAGCTTTAAAAACACAATATGTATATACTTAAAACATGGTATACACTGTGCAATGGTCAGGTTGACTTTGTAGAAAGAAGTACCAGCCAAAGTAGTAAAGGCAGATGTGGTTTCTGTTACTTGCTTTCAGCACCCAGCTCTTAATGTCCTTCCACAGTGTTTCATGTGATCAATTAATTGATGTTCATTGGCCACAAAAGTGTCTTATGGGCCAAAGTTGAAAGGTCATGGGTCAAATTAGGAAGTGGGTATAACTAAAGAAATGGCTCTTTATATTATCCTTATTGTGGCTGTTAGAGAAGAAACTTCAGCTGAGTTTTTGTATCATTACATTGGTGGTGACCATTTTTCTTCATTGCATTCCTCCATATATAGTGGTGCTAGTGAACTCTGAGATAAATATGACATTTGTGTGCCCTCCTCCCACATTGTATGTTTGCTATAAGAACGTGGCGCCATCTATGAATATAGTTTATGTTAAGTTACATCAAAAATAATAAATGCTCAACAACAGTAATAATGGTAGTGGAGAGGGTTGTGAACCCCCATTAACGTGCCCCTTGCTCCAAACTATCATTTCACAAATTTTAGTTGAGATTGGAGTAGTTAGGTAATGGACAAACAGACAGACACAGATTTTGTGCTTCATATATATATATTGGAAATGTTTATAAAAAATCTTTACTTTTGCTATTTTCTTGGCTTTCTTAATTTTTTTGTAGTTCTGCAACTTCTATATTATGGAAAAATTTAAACAATTCCAAATTCAATTTAAAGAACTGTGAAAAAGTTTTTTACATTTAATACAATTCTAAGAAAAAGATTATCAATAGGTATTTACACAATACAATTATAAAGCTTGGAGAATAAAAAGTACATGTTCTAAAATTAAAAGAAAGAGCCAGTATGAGAAGTTTTTTAATAGAGATATTTAATACAATTAAATAATAATTTACAAATTTTCTACTTTATTTAGAGTTTTCTAGCCATTGTTCAACCTTAACATATTAGTATTAGATTTTTATTTGTACTTTTTTGTTCAAAATTAGTGAATCTTATGTATAATTGTATTTCATCATGGGTCACTTCTTGTTGCAAAGTAAGAACTAATACATGAAAAGACTGATTTTAAGATACAGTTACTGTTATGCCTCCGTTCGTTAGTTAATTTTCCGTAAAAATTCTTTCCGAAGAAACTTAACCGATACAACTCCTTTCTTAAATAAAACTGGTTTCTTCTTTCTAAATACAACTTTGCAATACACTTAATTTCCACGGTCACGCTATAACAAACGCTATAATTCACAACGAATGTCTCACGTCTCTCTCTGTCCACAATTCAGTTACACATTACATTACATTGTTGCTATAATTCACAACGAACGTCTCACATCTCTCTCTGTCCGCAGTTCAGTTACACATTACATTACATTGTTGCCGTCACGTCTTGACCGTCTTATATATAAAAGAATATTGAAATCTAGTAAACGCTCGAGCATTCAGGATCCTTCTAGAAGTTCATGACGTGTTACTAGCATCACGTGACCTCTGCTGTCGTAACATTACTTTCATTTCCTGAATGTAACAGTTTGTTTGCAAAATGATGTAGATTTTTATAGCTTAAAATTACTATTCATGATGAATTTATAGATTTATCAAGACTAATGTGATTTGCAAAGGCTCTAAAGTGTGTTTCATTACTTGCATTCAAACTGTGAATTTCATAATATGATACTTCACTTTTATAGTGAAAATGTCATTATCATCCCAGGAAGATTCACAGCCAGTTGGTCCTGGAGCATGCAAGAGTGGAGGAGTTATGATACTAGGACAGGAACTAAAATTAACTGTTGAGGACTATCAAGAAAATAAACTCTCCGAAACCTCCAAAGAGGAACATGCCAAAGATTTTCAAAAACCTGACTTTGAAGTTATTATATATAGGTAATACATAAAATGAAAGTAAATATGCTTGATGACTGTGGTACATGTTGGTATTTTATACATTCTAATATATGTAATTTATTTCTTTTCATTTTTTTACCTATCATGAACACCTCCTTTTCCCTTTGTTCTACAAATTTTGTTGTGTTCTTAGACCTTGTTCTTAATGGGACTAATTTTATATCCTTACAAGTTGCTTGGAATTTGGTCTTCTACCAATAATGAAATAGTTTTACTATGTTTTCAAAGTATTGAGGTCCTTAGTAGTTGAGAACAGTGGGTGCAAGTGATTATTGCTCAATTAATTTTGATGTTTTGCTGCATATAAAAAAAAAGCAAATTTTGAAGAGATGAAATAATAATTATCTGCTGTGAATTGGGCAACTGAATTAGCTAGAGATACTGATCAAATGTGGAAATAATTTTGAAAATAAACTTAAATATTCAAGATAGGCATATTACTTATAGAAGAAAAAGTGGCTGAAAATAAAAAATTAGGTTGCCTCACAAAGTGTATAAAGAATAAAATAAATAAAAGCATTATAAATATAAGAAGTTTAAATTGACTGTGATGATGGAAGACTTGGAAGATTATAGAAGATCAAGAAAGTTGGTCAAATGGGAAGTTAGAAAATCAAATTCTATATGAAAAAGTTTGGCTGAAAATGTAAAAATTAATATTAAGGATTTCTCTAAATACACCAAGGGTAAACAAAATGTAAGGATGGGAGTAGTGCCTATGAGGGATGATACGGGAATGCTAATATCTGATGATTATGGGATGGTTGGGTTATTAAATTCTACTTTTTCTTCAGTTTTTTATTAAAGCAATATTCCTCACCCTGAATAGTTACTATAGTAACCAAGGTGGAATAAAATAATCACATTAATTCTGTGAAAAAATATTGGGAACTTTAAATAATGATAAAGCTCTTGGACCCAATAATATTTACCCAAAAGTTTTAAAAGAGATTAAGGATTGAATATATGAGTCACTTGCTACTATTTTTCTAAGTCCTAGAATAGTGGGCAGGTATTGGAAAATTAGAAGTTGGCTAATGTTACTCCTCTTTTGAAGGGAGGTGATAAAAATTGTCCCAGCAATTATTGGCCTATTAGTTTTACATCAGTTGTGAGAAACATTTTGGATGTCTGATAAAAGATGCTTTGCAAGGTCATTTAACACAGTTTAAAATTTTTCTGGATAGTCAGCATGGTTTCACTAGGGGAAAATCTTGCCTAACTAATCATTTTGACAATCTTTGAAGACGTTACTACTTGTGTAGTTAAGAGTACGTGTGTGTATTTGGTCTATTTGGAATTTCACAAAGCATTTGACAAGGTACCACATAAAGAATTCTTTAAAAAGTTATCTTTGTAGGTGTGGATAATAAATTGGCTCATTGGATAGAAAACTAGATAGGTGGAAGAATGCTGAGGGTTGTTATAAATGGAGCTCTGTCATTAATGTCATGAGTGGGGTACCTCAGGACCTTTGATCTTTTTGATTTACATTAATGGCATAGATGAAGGAATGGTCAATAGATTATTTAAATTTGCTGATGACATTAAAGTTTTAAGTGTTGCTGGATATGAGGAGGATGCTGCTGTTTTACAAAACGATTTGGTGAGTTGGGAAAATAAATGGCAGATGGTTTTTAATTATGATTTTGATGGGAATAATTTTAATAGTGTTATGGAAGAAAAAGATCTTGGTGTTCTGGTTGATCAGTTTTTTAAACCATCCAAGCAACATTCTTGTTGCTAGTAGCAAGGCAAGCCGAAGTTTAGGTTAGGTTAGCTTAATACAAGACTAAAAAAGCTATAATGTCATTGTAAAGATCATTGGTTAGGCCATGTTTGGAGTATTATGTTCAGTCTTTGGCTCCTTACCTCAGAAAAACATTGAAATATTAGAATAGGATCAGAGGATCCCTACTAGGATGATACCTGGAGTGGAAAAGTTGTCACAAGAGGATAGGTTAAGATCTGTGAACTTCTTTTGTGTTGAAAAGAGAAGAGTTAGAGGGGATCTGATTGAGATGTTTAAGATAGTTAAGGGCATTGATAGTATTGTTGCATCATCTTTTTTCATATTTGTTAATGAATATGGTAAGATTAGGGGACAAAACTATACATTTTGGCAGGGTAATGTTCAGCTAAGACAGCGTTATTTTTCTAACAGTTCATTGGCCCTTGGAATGGGTTACCTTTAGACGAGGTTAGTTTAAGGGAAAACTTGATAAACATTTGAATGATAAGGGCTGGTTTTAAGTTTTTAATATTTAGTTTAATTTCATGGATGGGATGGCCATAATGGAACAAAAAGTCCTGCCCTTGTTGACCTTTAATGTTATGTTAAACAGTAAAATTAGGTATTTCTTTTAGGAATCTGAAATGTAATACAAATGAAACAGTTGTAAATTTATTTTTCTTTGGTTAGTAACAATAAAACAAAAAGTAAATATCTGTATATATATATATATATATATATATATATAAGAGCGAGAGAAGTAAATTAATTTAATTTAATTAGTATATGTAGTATGTGTACTAATTTAAAAGTTAATTCAT